TTGCCTACTGGTGGTGGTCAGAGGGCCCGGTGGCGCCAGTGTCCGGCAGCCTCGCCTCTGTCAGTGCGCCCCAGGGTGGCTGTGGCTATAATGTAGCTGCCATCACCAGTGTGTGAAGTGTGTGTGAATGGGTGAATGACAGGTTGTGTAAAGCGCTTTGGGGTCCTTAGGGACTAGTAAAGCACTATACAAATACAGGCCATTTACCATTTACCATTGTAGAGGTGTGTCAACCAACCTGAGTCGCCTGATGGTTTGCGAGAATCCCCTGGTCCCTGGCAGCTGCCCAGCACACACAGCACCTGACCCCTAGAGTGCTTCCTGCTGGTGATAGGCCTACAGGAGTCTGGGCTAATGTCCATTTATTGGACTGTGTCTGGGCGGGCCCCGTGGACTAAGGCCCAGCTGCCAGACGTCCGCCCTCAGGCCCCCTCCCCGAACCTGGCTCCAGGGTGGTAACTCTATCCTGGGCTGGGTAAACTGTTCCATTCACTCCTAGGACTTTTTGAATGTTTTTGTCTGGTCGTTCACCCAGGACCCAGATATGACTACTGTACTTAAGTAGAATTTTCAGGTATCTGTATTTTACTTGAATATTGTTTTTGTTTATTTGTTTGTTTTTACCAAACCCAAGTGACAAATAAAGAGGCAAGGCTGAGATGATTTGAATATGTCAGAGGAGGGATCGTGGACAAAGCATATTGAAGATTGTTTTTTTCCCTCCTTTCTTTCAGCTCAAAGTGGACTAATGCTAAATTTCAAAATCTCAGTTTGAGAGTGATGTTGTATGCTTTTGTTTGAATAAAGTCAATTTTATTTTATTTAACCTTTCTTTATACAGGTAGACCTGTTTGAGAGACCTGTTTCAGACAAACAGGTTAAATAAGACAATTGTCAAATTTGGTGTATATTGGAACGCTCCATTTGAACCCATTTGAAAATTGGAACTTTGAATACACTATATTGAAAAAAGAGTAAAGCTACAACAAAGATTTCAAAGACAAATCACTTTAAACTTATTGAACTATGATAAAGTGATATTTATGGCTCTTCTCCATACACTATTATTTGTTCCTTCATATAAGTGTTAGGGATACTCCAAGTTTTGACCTACCAGCGTCCTCGCTGTGGTGAGAACCTAAATTGCTCATCCAAATGAGTGAAGAGGGTAGCAAATTTGGTTTTTAGCAATATCAGACAAGCTATCAGACATGACTGATTTTATTAGAGGTCCAAAACATGAATTTTGACAATTAAAGGCTTCTTTCAATATATTTGCCTGAACAAAAATTTGCAAAAAAAAAAAAATCCGAAGGGGAAGAAGAATTCCAGATTGCTTTTGGTTCAATTCTGCAGACTTCCTCCCAAAAAGTCCATTTCGCTATTTGGTCATAACACTAAATAAAAGTTAACTTCTCTTTGTCTTGATGCTCAGTCATCCAAGTAAGCAGATCTCCAAATGGTTGATTCTGTTTATCTGGAAGTAGCGTTTTCAGTGGGAGAAACCTTTCATCACATCCAGGTGACTTCTTCAGTCTCAGCTGACTGCAGGTTTTCCCAATCTTATAAACAGTACATTTGCATAATGACTGAAACCAGCCCATTGAAGGAACTTCTCTTTGCTTTTACCAGCCAATGTGACTTACCTAACAGTTACTCCTGCCATTTTCATCAGTTCTGAATTCTTCATTATCTCCTTCCTTTAAATTTGTAAGATTATGCTTCATTTTAATGTCTGTCACTACATTGTATCAAAAAGGGGAAAAATTAAAAAAACCTCAGAATAACACCCTCTGTTAATTTATTAACTTTTAGCTAACAGTGCCACAGAGAGAGAACTGATTTGAGAACTGAGAACTGTCACTGATATGCTTGGAGAACAGAGAAATCTAAAGAAAATTTGAATATTTACTGTGACACAAATAATACTGGTAACAGTCAACGGTGACAAAAGCAGAGCTAGTTTATGGAGGTTGTTTCTGGACTTTCAGACTGAGCCTTCAATCTGCCCATTCACATGTCAAGATGATTGACAGGACTCAAATGCGGGTCTCCTGAATGTTCACAATAAAGGTGAGTTTATTTAAGTGACACCAGCTGCTAATACAATGGTGAAGGGAACAGGAGCTCCATAGAATCCAGAGAAGGGAAACACGCCCAAACTCCTGTCTTCACAAAGCCAGTCACTTACATGACCAAACTTGCACTCCACGCTGACGCTCACTCCGAATACACTCGCTCGACAGGGTCCAAGGGAAACAGGGAGGGATCAGGGAAGGTCTGCACCAGGGAGAAGAGAAACAGGTTAGAAGCTAAACATACTGTGACAGCTGGGCTACACGAGCCAGCGATGACCCCAACTCAGCCGCCGTAGTGACCAGTCTGATGGGGATGATGAGCAGCAGCTGAGTTGATTGCCAGCAGGTGCGTTGGCCGAAGGTGGAAATCTACAATGCAACACCACCCAGGCGGAAAGGAGTGAGGATGGGAGGGAGAGAGGGACACACAATAACAAGCACTGAC